ATGCATACAAGTTCATTGATTGAGCTCTTCCCACTCACCCTCCCCTGCCTTCCCAGTCTGTTCATGCTTTTGTGTCTCTGGGTCTTATTTATAGTTTCTATTTCTTGTTTCATACTGTTGTAAGTCCCACTAAGTGTCTTGAAATTCTCGCTAAGTTCCTTGTGTATTCGTTATCATTACTATGAGCTCTATAATAAATTGCTTGCCTCCATTTTGTTTAACTCTCTTTCTGGAGTGTCCTCCTTTTCTTTTATTTGGGGGTTGTTTTTTGTCTCCCATTTTTGTTGTTCCTTTGTATTTTTTTTCTATGTATTAAAGAAAATTACTATGCCTCCCAGTCTTCACAGGGTGGCCTTATGTAGTAAATATTTTATGGGACCCAGTGGCACAGTTTCTTAAATCCCCTGAGCTGGTTACTTGTGTGTTACTTGGGCTCTCCCATTATAAATGGGTCCTGAATGCTGCTGTCCCATTTCTGGGAAGAATGTCCTCTGACGTTGGCTGACTGTGAGGCTCACCCCCAACCACATCATCCAAGCTATTGCCTAGGTGCTGGCAGATAAAAACAAAATAAAACAAAATAAAAACATACAAAGGCCCCTAAACAACAACAAAAGCAACCACAAAAGAAGAGAAAATTTGAAAGAAGAAAAAGTACAATAAAAGGAGAAAAGAAAAATAAATATGAAAGGGCAAAGATGAAAGAAAAAAGTTAAGAATAAAGAATAGGGGAAGGAAAATTGTATAAAAGAAAAGAGAAATAGATAATTACATAAAAGGAAAATAGACAAGAAAGCAGGTAGACAAAATAATAGGAAAAGGAAAAGCAAATAGAAAGAAAGAGAAAGAAGAAAAAATAGAGTAAGAAAAGGGAAGGGAAAATTAGATCTATAAAAGAAAAAAGAGAGACTAAAATAATAATCAATAAAGAAGAAAGACACAGAAGATAAAGAAAAAAAAGTAAAGTGGCATTGATCTCAGCAGACTTCAGTGCCTCCTGGGAGGTCCCTTTGGATCCTGCTCTTCTGATGACCAAGGCTGTTCTGTCTGCCAATGCTGGGCTTCCCAAGGAGGTACTCAGGTGCTAACCACTGTCAGGAGCTGTCCTCCTTTGGCTGTCAGCAACCTGTTTGAAATTTCCAGGGATCCACAGTTTGTGTCTTTCTCCCCAGGACTTGGCTGCTCGCAGGAGGGGCCAAGCTGCACTCTAAGGCCAGTTCCATTAGCAGTACAGGGCCCAGTGATGGGTCAGCAACCTTCCCCAGGTTACCAGGCTCTACCTCTGCCTGCCTTCACCTATCAATCTTAATCACTCAAAAGTCTGTTTCTGAAAGGGCTTTAGGCAGAATCAGGAGTCTGGACCTCTGGGTCTCCCCTGAGGGGGAGGTGCCATTCAGATGTCAGGGAAAGTGATGGGTGTGTTTCCCTGTTCCAGAGCTACTCCTCTGAGAGTGATCCAATATTTCCCTGCCCTGAGCTGGGCAGAGATCCTTATATGCAGTCCAGGGGAACAGCTGGAAACCTGGAGTTTCTATCAGCTCTCCTGTGAGAGGGAAGCACCAGTCAGCTTCCCGGGATAGTAGGGTGCACAGCCCCATCCCTAATCCAGTCACTGGTTCCTGAGACTATTAAAAACTTGGCCTCTACTGCTGTCTGCTCTGCAAAGGTCAAGATGCAGGGTGTGGCAGGCAGGGCTCCTGAGGGTGTGGCAGGCTGTGCCACCTAGGGCAGGGCTTGGGGGGTGGGAGGGGGCCCAGCCTGGATTCCAGGCCTTGATCTTCTCAGGGAATAACGCTCCCATAGCCGAAAGATCCCTCTTCATTCTGGGAGGGGGCCCAGCCTGGATTCCAGTCCTCGATCTTCTCAGGGAATAACGCTCCCATAGCCGAAAGATCCCTCTTCATTCTTGGCCTGCCACCTGCAGAAGCTAGGTCAGCTCCTCTCACCACCTCATCCTTCCGACCAGTCTCCAGGTGTTTCCTGTCCTTCCTTGATATAAGTCTCTTCCTCAGCTGGGCCTCAGTTGGTAATTCTGGGTGAATATTCTCCAGTTTAGTTGTATTTCCAGCCTGGCCCTGAGAGGGGGTGCCAGAAAGGTCTGCCTATTTGGCTGCCATCTTCCTCAAGAACTGTCCTGTTTGAATTCCTGTGAGTACTTTCATTTTTTCTGGAGGAAGAAGAGACTCCAAGAACTGCTTAAATGAGAAGGGAAGGGATTGGGGGGTTCCTTGTTGAAAATGAGGCCCAATATCATTCAACCATTCATTCAACAAACATTTACTGAGCACATGTCAATGCATCCAGCACAGAGCCAGTTATTGGGGCACAGAAAAAATATGACACAGTCCTAATTTGGGGGAATCTCTGGGGTACCCAAAGGGTTTTAGGGCAGGGCCCCTTGAAAGAAGCTGGAGTTAGCCCTGAGCCTGATGAGGCCTGGCACAGGCTTCCTGGCAACCAGTGGATTCCTTTCCTCCTGTCCCTGAGCCTGGTCACTGACGTAAATCTATTTCATGATCAATTGACCAAGAGATGTGACTATGAATAGGCACCGCTGAGGTGTGTACAGCAGTTTGCTGGGGAGCTCTGAGGCCGCAGCCCCCTGGAGACTCCCCAGACTCTGGACCATAGGCAGCCCGCTATCCAGCTGCAGATCTCACCACCCTCCCAGGGCCCAGCCACTATTATGTGTGCAAAGAGCAGTAGACAAAGCAGACAGAAATCTTGGCCCTCACTGACCAACATTCTAGCAGAGGAGCTAGCAAATCTGATGTCTAGCAAATCTGATGTCTAGAACAGTGAGTGCTGTGAATAAGCACAAAACAAGAGGAAAGCTGAGAGACTGGAGCAGGGGAGGGGACTGATTGTATGGAGGGATCAAGGAAGGCCCCCTAAGAAGGTGGCACTGGCCAGAGACCTCAACCGCCAGGTGGGCGGGGCCAGAGTAGAGATCTTGAAGACCTGTTGTCTCCCTTTGTGCCCAGCTTTGCTCTTCTCACAAACACTTGTTACGGGAGATGAAATGGCACTCCTCTTGCTTTTTCCTTTGGTTCTGTCAATTTCTCAGTGATTTCCAAAGAGAAAATACTATTCAATAGGTGGCAAATTCTTCTACATTCCAAGAGAGGGGCTGAACAACATCCGGGGGACTTACAAGGGAGGCAACCTGGAATCAATTTAGTGACCGAAGTAATATAAGGAAATTAGATTTTTTTTGGTGGTAGTTGTTGATATGCAGCCCTCACCTGAAGCCTGGTGAGAAGCACTCCCAGAAAACCACCCAAAGAAGCTTATTTACTTATTTAGAGAGACTTCGAATGTGGGAGGGGCGCAGTAGCTTGGTGAGCAACACACACACCCAAGAAAACTGAAGTCAGAAGGTTGTTGTCAGTCTGAGGCAGCAGAGAGATAGAGACAGACAGGAAGACACGTGCACACTCCGAGATAGAGAGACAGAGAACACAACCTGGGGCCATTTTAAATCTCATTGAGGAGGTCTTCCTGCTGACAGGTGGTAAATGGCCACATTCCCAGAGGCTGAGAGAGGAAAGCTAAGCAGCTGGTTGGGCCAGCACTGGGCTGGCCAGTGCCCTTACAAGTGCCCAAGGAGGAGTCCCCTTTGACATCCACGCAGCCCCGTTACTCCAGTGCTGCCAAATGAGACCTTGTCTCTCCTCCTCCTCCTCCTGCCAACACCGGAAGGGGCAGAAAACAGTGTGATCCTGCCAGAGCGAAAGGAGAGGGAGAATGGAGGAGTGCTCCTCACAGCATGTGCCCACACTTGCGCACAGTGGGGGGCGGGGGGAAGGGCACAGGCCACACCTTGATGTAGTTATGTAATTATCCCACATATGAGTGACCAGCTGGAGACAGTGTGGGGACCAAGGCGACTGGAGCCTGCAGCCTGCCCAGCAGCTCCTCAGGACTGGAGAGCAGGTTTGAGCAGGCTGGGTGGGGGCGGGGAGATAAAGCTGTGTTCTGGTTGTGTGTCACCAATCCTGCTCCTCCAAGGTGCTGGCTGTGCACTCCTCACTACTCAGAAAAAGCCCACAGTTCTGCCCTCTCCCCTTCCTGTGTTCACGCCATCCTGGACCCTTACCTCCTTCCATCTGGCCTCAGCTCCAGCAGGCGATGCCCCATTAGCTGCTCACCCAGGCTGCTGGTGCCTTGAGCTAATGGCCCTGCCACCCCACCCTTCTCTCCCTTCCGGCCCACTGCCCATCCCAGACACCCTCCCTCAGCCCAGCACGGGGACGCCAGAGCCTCAGAGACATCTGGCAGCACTAAGAGGTGAGTCCTTCTTTCTGTGGCTCCTCTCTACACCAACAGTTATTCCCCAGACTCCCAAATCCCCCTGCTCAGGGCGCCCCTGAAATCAGAGAGGACATTCCCATGGACACAATGGGCCCTGGCTTCCCTTGGGCTCTCTGCTGGGGGGACCCTTTGGCTGCCCTTTGCCACAACCTCCACCCTACCCAAACCCCAACTTCTCCTTCCCTTGGCTAGGAGCTGACACCAACCCTCCACTGCTGGACAGGTAGTCTACGGTGGGGGAGCAGCCACTTCTCTTCCCAGGGAGTTGGGGGCAGGGGAGTGAAAGCAGAAGTCTAACTTCCATGCCTAAGAAAAGCACATACTGTGGGGCCCAACTCTGTTTTGAATTCTTTCTCCCCCTTCTCTCCCCAGAGTCTCAGAAATTAAGCAGCCTTCGCTCTTCTGGACCTGCACGCTTTCGTTCTGTCTTCTCTTGTCAATCCTCGATCACATTCTGTATTTTAAGAGGTGATACAGTGGAAAGAAAGCAGAGGACTGAGGGCTAGCGGTGTCGCTTATCATCCGGGCTCCCCTGCTAACTGGCTGCCACCTCCCTTTGTGGGCCTCCGTCTGCCGAAGGCTTCTAATACCCTGAGCGGTTTGTGACTCCAGAGCTTCCCTCCTCAGGCCTGAGAGCTGAGGGCAGGGAACAGTGAGCACAGGAGCCAATTGGGCCATCGGGCCCCATGGACCTGCCCCCGCAGCTCTCCTTTGCCCTCTACGTGGCTGCCTTTGCACTGGGCTTCCCACTCAATGTCTTGGCCGTTGGGGGCGCCGTGGCCCACGCCCGGCTCCGCCTCACTCCCAGCCTTGTCTATGCCCTCCACCTGGGCTGCTCAGACCTATTGCTGGCTGCTTCTCTTCCCCTGAAGGCGGTGGAGGCCCTGGCTGCGGGAGCCTGGCCTCTGCCAGCCCCTCTCTGTCCTGCCTTTGCCCTGGCCCACTTTGCTCCGCTCTATGCGGGTGGCGGCTTCCTGGCTGCCCTGAGTGCTGGCCGTTACCTAGGAGCCGCCTTCCCCTTGGGCTACCAAGCTGTTAGGAGGCCCTGCTATTCCTGGGGCGTGTGTGTGGCCATATGGGCCCTTGTCCTCTGTCACCTGGGGCTGGTCTTTGGGTTGGAGGCTCCGGGAGGCTGGATGCACAATACCACCAGCTCCCTAGGCATCAACACACCAGTCAATGGCTCTCCAGTCTGCCTGGAGGCCTGGGACCCAGCCTCAGCAGGCCCTGCTCGCCTCAGCCTCTCTCTCCTGCTCTTCTTTCTGCCCCTGACCATCACAGCCTTCTGCTACGTGGGCTGCCTCCGGGCACTGGCCAGCTCAGGCCTGAGTCACAGACGGAAACTAAGAGCAGCGTGGGTGGCTGGCGGGGCACTGCTCACACTGCTGCTCTGCTTGGGACCCTACAATGCCTCCAATGTGGCTGGCTTCTTGCACCCCGACATGGGAGGCCGCTGGAGGAAGCTGGGGCTCCTCACAGGTGCTTGGAGCGTGGTGCTCAACCCATTGGTGACCGGCTACTTGGGAAGGGGGATTGGCCGGGGGACATCATGTGGGACAAGAATGAAAGGGGGTACATCTCAGAAGTAGTAGCCTTTGCAGGGGGGCAGGAACATGCAGCAGAACCCCGCTGCCTCTCTAGGCCTCTTGTGGGGGCTGCTCCAAAGGAACTGCAGGGTGGCCTTGCCCTGGGGCACCCCTGGAGCCACTTATGGGAAGAACTGAGTCTGGCAAGATATCGTCCCACCTGGAGAGAAGAATGGAGGCCAGGAGCTGGTCGCAGGAGAAAGGTAAATTGACCTCTGCACACAGCAGCGGACTCTCCGCATCTGTCTCTCCTCTGCTTGGTCCTTACCTGCCTGCCTGCCAGTGTTATGGGCAGAGGCCTTTTACTAGTCGGAAAGTAGGAGGGAAGTTTGCTTCTAATCTAGAGGAACTGCCACTCTGATGATACATATTGGGAGATGCTACTCCAAAGTCATTTCCTAGGAAAGAACAACTTAATTTCTGACTGAGACAGGAGGCAAAATAATGACACTGTAATACACTGGAAACTCACAAGAGGGCAGCATTAGAACTGTGAAGAGGAAGTTGGGGAGAAGGGATGCTTCAGCAGGGGGAGGGAAAATATTAGCAGCACCAGAAATAGTCGCAAACAAATACAGAGCCTCTAATACGAGCCAGTCACAATGCCCACTGCTTGACTAGTGTTGTCTCATTTCATCCTCACACAGTCCTTTGATTCAGCTGTGCAGCTGGGCAGGTTGTTCATTAACTCAATTCTAGCCTGTGCTTTGCTCACCAAGCCATGTGCCTGGCACAGGGGGGCCTCTATCCAGGGGAAGCAGCATCCTATCTAATAAAGATGGAATATGCTAATTGACCCTCACACCATTGCAAAGATGGTGGCGCTCACAGCCAATAAGGACGGGAATATGCTAATTGACCCTCACGCCATTGCAAAGATGGTGGCACCCACAGCCAATAAGGAGAGAATATGCTAATTGATTACCTCACCCTCAAAGATGGCAGTGCCCACAGCCACAAGATGGCAGCGCCCAGTCCCCTCAGCCCCGCTGGGGCAGCAGGCGCGCGGCAAGGCTGGGCCCGCCTTGCCGCGCACCTGCCTCTGGAGTCTTCCAGTCCTCTTAGCCCCCCAGCTGCCCAGGGCCGCCCGAGGCTCAGGTAACCAGGGCTGGCCGAGGCTTGTGCTGCTGGCAGTGGCAGCAGCAGAGGTGTGATGGGGGCATCGCCTTCCCCTGATCACCAGGTTGCCTCCCGCCCCTGAGGGCTCCCAGACTGTGAAAGGGGCAGGCCCGGCTGAAGGACCCCAGGGAGTAACTGAAGCCATTATCATCTTTATTTTTCAGGGAGAAAAAATTTTCCCAAGGCCCTACAGCAAGGAAGGGGTAGATGTGGGATGTGATCTTTCAAGGCAGGGCCCCCAAGGTCAGGGGACATTTGGAAAACTTAGGGTATTGGGTTAATGCCTGTCCTTGGGGTCCATTTTACAAAGGTGAATGGTGGCACCCTGAACCCACAAGAAAGCAGGCAGAAGAGAGAGGCCATAAAGGAGGCAGACACTTGGGCATCTGCTCTGACCAGGCCAGGGGTAGAAAGCAGATTTGTTCCTCTGATGATGACAGTGCCATGAACATATAGGAGCACCAAAAGCGGTAGCTATGTGCCCAGCATGCATGAACTGATTTATACAAATTATTTCTTTTCATGCTTAAATGTCTACAAGGTCAAGGAATTTTGTTTTATTTTCTAATATATCCCCAGCACCTAGAAGAGAGCCTAGCACACAGTAGGCTCTCAGTAAATGTTTGCTGCATGAGTGAATACTCACAATAGCCCTCCAAAGCAAGTTTTATTATCTGTTTTATAAACATGGAAACAGGCCAGAGAAGTAACTTGCTGGAGGCTCTGTAGGAGGCAGAAACATGTTAGTTCCCTGCACTGTGGTGATTCCAGAGAGGTTCCCATAACAGCTCAGCTGGCCCCCTGCCCCTCCCATAATGCCAGAGACTATTCTCTCTCCTACTCTCTGGAGCACCTGCTGCTGGGCCACTTCTTCCTGTTATTTGTGTCTCATCCTCATAGGGGAGATTTCAGTTGCTCTCTGGGGCCCATGGGCCTTGCATGATCCTCCCCTGGCATCATCTCCTGACCCCTGGCCCTTGAACCCTAAACCTTCTACCAGTTCCCCCAGTGGGTCAAGCCTGTGCACCTGCCATTCCTTCTGCCTGCAGAGTTTCCTCCAGTGGTTCCCTGCCTCTGTATTATCCTCCCACCACTCAACCCTCCAATCCTCTCATTACGAACTGTAAGCACCACAACAGCAAAGACTTTGTTTTGTCCACTACTTATTGAGATAATATTTACATATCATAAAATTCACCCATTTGGTATGTACAATTCAATGAGTTTTAGTAAATTTACTGAGGTGTGCAACTATCACTAAATCCAATTTAGAACATTTTCATCACCCCAGTCAGATCCCTCATGCTCATTTACAAAACTCCCACTTCCACCCCCATTCCTCAGGCAACCAGTCATCTACTTGTTGTCTCTATAAATGTGCCTATTCTGGACATTTTATATAAATGAAAACATATAATGCTCAGTCTTTAATGTCTGGCTTGTTTCACTTAGCATAATGTTTTTGACGTTCATCTGCATTATAGTACACATGGGTATTCCATTCCTTCTTATTGCAGGTAGTGTTCTATTGTATGGATATGCCACCTGGTTTATCCATTCACTAGCTGATAGGTCACAGATGGATGTTTCCATTTTTTGGCTATTATGACTAATGCTATTTATTTTTTGTTATTTTTTAAATATGTTCTTATTGATTTCAGAGAGAGCAAGGCGGAGAGAGAGAGAGAAAGAGAGAGAGATCAATGATGAGAGAGAATAATTGATCAGTTGCTTCCTGCACGCCCCCTACTGGGGATTGAACCCACAACCCAGGCATGTGCCCTGACCAGGAATCGAACCGTGACCTCCTGGTTCATGGGTCAATGCTCAACCACTGAGCCACACTGGCTGGGCGACTAATGCTATTTGAACATTTATGAGCAAGACTGTGTGGACATATGTTTTTCTTTCTTTTAAGTAGATACCTACTTATAAGGGAATTGGGTCACATGGTAAGTTTATGTTTACCTTTTAAAGACACACTGCTTAAAAGTGACTCCACTATTTTGTATTCTCACCAGCAGTGTGTGAGGATTCTCATTTCTTCACATCCTCAGCAACACTTGACATTATCTGTTTTTACTTATAGCCATTCCAGTAGCATGTGAATAAAATGGTATCTCGTTGTGTTCCATAAATATTTGAATGAATAAATAAATAATATCTGAAGCTGGACAGAACTTGGGTTTGAATTCTGATGGTGATTACCTGGAGCAAGTCACTTCTGCACAGTGAGGCACAAGACATAATGGTGGTACCTTGAGAATCAGAGTATCTGCTATAGATTATATGCCACCTAAAAGGTAGCTGCTATCATCATCACCACCATCATTATTATTATTAATATTATTATTACCATCACCCCAGGGACAAGCCCATACCAGTGACTGGGATGATGGCAACTAACACCTGTTAAGTGCTCATCCTAACATGTCAGGCTCGCTTCTAAGCATTTGATATGTACTAATGCTTTAATCTACACAATAACATATGAGATTGGTACTGTGATCGTCTCTGTTTTAGATGAAAAAGCAGAGATTCAGGGAGTTTACATCACTTGCCCCATATCAGAGTAAATAAATGACGGAGCCGACATTGGACCCAGGCCATATTTACCATCACTGCATCCTGCTTCCTATCCTTACAAGGCAAACTAGACGAGTGCCATGTAGAGAGCAGATAAAATGCAAGTGGAGGATGGGGGAAGGAGAGATGACATCTGCTCAGGCCTGGTGGGGGCATTCCACTGGAGGCTGCCCTAGGAGCCAGGCCTCCACTTGTGGAATTTGCTCTTCATTTTGCATACAGAGATAAAGGCATCTTTTGTGTTATGGCTCAGCAGTGACATCACAGGCACTGCCAGATCTTTATCAGTTCCGTCAGATTAATAGCTAACTGCTCTTGCTCTGGAGGAACCAGCAAGGTGCCGAGTGGCAGAGCACTTGGATTCTTAAATAAGCAGGTGAGTGCTGGGCCCTGAGTAACTATGTGGAGGAGCCGCTTGGCGCTTACTTTACTGGGGGAAGCAATAGGAGACAGGCTGACCCCAGTGGGGAAGGCGTCAGGGGGCATGAGAAAGTGAGGTGGTGACGATGTTCTCTGTGGATTGTTGAGACGCTGCCATCTCTCTCCCTCTCTGTCTCACAACCTCTCTCTCTCTAGTGGCCATCACCATGGACACAAGCCTGGACCCATCCTTCTTCCCCGGCAATCACTGGCTGTACTTCTCCGTGTACCTCTTCACCTTCTTGGTGGGACTCCCACTCAACCTGGTGGCTCTGGTGATCTTCGCCCGCAAGCTGCAGCGCCGCCCAGTGGCCGTGGACCTGATCTTGCTGAACCTGACCCTCTCGGACCTGCTCCTGCTGCTCTTCCTGCCCTTCCGCATGGTGGAGGCGGCCAGCGGCATGCACTGGCGGCTGCCCTTCATTTTCTGCCCCTTAACCAAATTCCTCTTCTTCACCACCATCTATCTCACGTCCCTCTTCCTGACAGCTGTGAGCATCGAGCGCTACCTGAGCGTGGCCTACCCGCTGTGGTACAAGGCCCGGCCAAGGCTCCGACAGGCTGGCCTGGTCAGTGGGGCCTGCTGGCTCCTGGCCGCTGGGCACTGCAGTGTGGTCTTTATCACCGAATTCTCAGGAAACTTTTCCCACAACACCTGCTACCTGGAATTCCAGGAGGAGCAGCTGGCCATTCTCCTGCCTGTCCGGCTGGAGATGGCTGTGGTCCTTTTTGGAATTCCCCTGCTCATCACCAGCTACTGCTACAGCCGCCTGGTGTGCATACTCAGGAGGGGAGCCAGCCACCGGCGGAAGAGGGTGGCAGGGCTAGTGGCAGCCACGATGCTTAACTTCCTCATCTGCTTTGGGCCCTACAACATT